AGGTTTTTACTTGGATAGAAAAGAATCTCATGAATCTCAATGAATTGAAATACTACCTTCACATCCCAGGGAGCTAGAAGGGGAATCATTTCTTGAAAACGTAACTTACTTATTTCTTTATCGTGATCAGGCCTCATTTATATATTTTAGTAAGTTCCTAAATTGGGGTACGTTGAAGAATTTCAATAAGGCTACGTTAATGGCTTTCTCGGCTACTTCACTTCATGTAGTGACGTATGACAAAAAAATAACCTCTGGGGAATTTCACTCTAAATCTTAAGAGAATAATATAGAGGCTGGTAAAAAAAATTCTTATGAATTAATTTGGGCCTTACACACCACTATGAAGAATGAGATAGAAATATTGTTAAAAAAAAATCATTATGGAAAGTATTAAGGTGAGTTATGCTGAAGTAAATTGGCCACTTTCCTTGGAGTAAATATCACTACGTTTATATTAGTGTTGACAATGTAGTTCACAGTAAAGAAGGCTGGGAAGCCAGCAGCAAGCCACCTGCCACCTGCCAGAAAACTACCCACTGCAGGGAGAGGAGCAAATGGGAACGAATAGGTCAGGGGGTACAAATTAGTAATTAGGCCAATGAATACGTCTGGAGATCCAAAGTCCAGCAGGACGACTATTGTTAATAATGTTGTGGTTGATTCTGAAACTTTACCAAGACAGTAGATTTTAGATTCTCTTACCATGCAAGGGTCGAAAGTGATGAAGATGCTCATTTGTTTGACTGTAGTAATCTGTTCACTATGTATATGCGTACGAGCCATCGTGTCGTACACTTTAACTCTACGGAAGGAAGAAATTTAAAAAGGAAGACTATTAATACACATTGGCAGCACGCCCCCTGACCCCTGCCCTCAACCTGCCACGGGCACACCTTCGGAGGGCTCCAGGATTTTCGGGCCGACTGGGGTGGCTCTGAAAAGAGCCTTGGCGGGGTGGTGCTCGGGGGCGGGAAGCAGCTCAGGTGCTCATGGAGAATAAATAACGAACTGTGAGCATGCACATGGGGAACATAGTAGTAGCAGGACAAACATCCTGCATCAAACGTTTTTCGGCATTCTCAGTATTATGGAGTACATGCAGAAACACAAAGGAGGACCCAACCCAACACAGAAATAACTAAATAGAAAAGTTCAAGAAGCAATACCTATCCCTAGGCTCTCTAGAACCTGAAGTTACTATTTTAACTCGTTCAGTTTTATCCAGTTATGTTCCTCTCCAGTCTATAATCTTTGGGTTTAGAAAGCACAAACCTTCATGACTTGCATTTATGCATAATAGGGATGATGGGAGGTCCAATCAGAGCAGCTCAAGCCCCAGTCTGTTCTCAGTCAGCCAATGTGGAACCTGTAGCCACGGAGCCATAGCCACCAGCTCACCATGTAACCGGGTGTCCCAAGTGAGCCGATCAAAATTTTCCTGGAATATTCAGCCTTGGAGTTGAGGTGGAAGCAGCTCCTGATGGAATGGGTGTGATTCTCTGCCTGAGGGCTCATTCCGTGTGAACTGTGCTGTATGGTTGTTTATTGTGGGTGTTTTTTTTCTTTCTTTCTTTCGTTCTTTCTTTATCACGGTGACGAGTTCCTTGATGACCTCCGTTTCTGTAATTCTTCTTCATTCTGTACCCGTTCGGTATTTGGGGTTCATTTTTCCACAAATACATTTAAGGAATAAATTTTCTCGAATTGTCAGATTTTTGAATAGCACGTAGTTTTAAACTATTTCTTGACTGTCTCTTACCTTTTGGGTGATTTACTGCAAAATTAGATGAATACCTTTTTTTTCTTTCAATCAAGGGCTGTTCTATGTATTCAGCAATGCTAGAATGTAGGGTACCTTTTCGGATCTAAGTATCATTAGGGGTGTGACTACAAACCTGGTAAATGTTGAATTTCCTTATGTATGTCTAAATACCCCAGTTGTGTTTGTTTTCACTCTTTACAAACGGTAGTTTTCTACTCGGTTATCCTGATTCATTGAGGGTTTCCATCCGAACCGGAGGCAGGAGGTGGACCGACACATCTCCACGTCCAGGAGCCCTCTGCTGGCCGTGTCAGAGCCTTCCTGTGTGGGTTCTCTTGCTGTGAATTTCTGTGTGGGACGAGACAGGCAGCTTGCAGGGCTCCAGGCTCCCACTGTCATTGGTCGAAGGACGGCCAGCAGGGGGAGCGTGCAGTCCCAGCGCACGCCGCTAGGCTCACTCACGCGCTCCCTGTGTGCCCTGACACCCAATCAGAAGTCGAGGTCACGCATGACGTGAGGCAAGGCAGCGACTATAAAAGGTGCTCCCCACCTGGCAGCAGCGCCATCTTCGGTGCCTCCTAGCTCTTGGCGCTTGCCTGAGGGATGGCGGAGCCTGCCTCTGTCCCGTCTCCGTCTCCGGACGAAGGTGTCAGCACCCAGCCGCCTGAGAAGGGTGCTCCGACGGCCCTGAAACAGAAGAAGCCCGGGCGCCATCGCCGCCGTAGCCGCCGTAGCCGCCGTCACACCCGCTGCCGCCAAGGCCACCGCGGCAAAGACAGTTTCGCCATCTATTTCCCCAGGGTTCTGAAGCTGGTCCACGACGGCCTCAGCCTGTCCCAGCAGGCCGTGAACGTCATGGACTCGTGCGTTAGCGACCTCTTCGAGCGCCTCGCCGAGGAGGCCGGCCGCCTGGCCCGTTACAACCAGCGCTGCACCCTCACCTCACAGGACATCCAGGCCGCCGTGCACCTGCTGCTGACCGGGGAGCTCCGCAAGCAAGCCGTGGCCGAGGGCACCAGGGCTGTGCTCAGGTTCACCATGAGCACATGAGCCGCCCCCTGCCCCCAGGCACGGCCCCCCAAAGGCTCTTTTCAGAGCCGCCTCAGATGACGCAAAAGACCTGTAACCACTTAATTTATCGTGCTATTTGTGGCTTCCTCAAAATCCGAGTAAATTTTTTGTTTTTCTCTTGCTGTTAGTTCTGTGTGACCTAAAATAATTTTCTAAAGTTTTTCATGACGACTGATCTCCTACATAGCCTCTAAGGAGAAGTGATTTTAAGAAATCAACACGATTAGGAAATTAGGACTGCGCTATGGGTGTTTGTGGTTTCCGTTTGGAAATTCAGAAACCAAGTAGAAACATTAGTAAAGCACCAAAATGACGTTGGGCATTGTAGACGGGGAACAAAAGGGGACTGGCACAGATGAAACGTCTGTAGGACAAGGGACGACTGGGTTTGAGGACTAGAAGGGAACAGAACGCATGATTACTTTCTTCAGTAGCTGATGGACAAAAATGAGGCCTTTGCAGAGAAAACCAACTGAATGGAAGAGTCAGTGCTTACGTCATTGACAAACTGTTGATATTCATTACATACTGAAATTTTAATTTTGATATGTTGGATTAAATAAAATATATTATTAGAACTTTAAAATAAATAACACATCCTAGGCATCTATATGGGGAATATAGTATTAACAGGACAATAATACTCCAGTCAAACTTTTTTCCGCATTAACTTTATTACTGAGCCCATTAGAAAACATACGTGAGGAAACAAAACACAGCATCGAAAAAGTTAAATCCAAGAGTTCCACAAGAGTACTTATTCCTAGGCTTTCTAGAAACTGAAGTCACTAGTTTACTAGTAACTAGCAACTAGTTACTAGCAGCTAGTTACTACGAACTGGTGACTAGAGCTCCAGGACGTCAAGGGAACTGGCTGCCCATCCCCTACATCCAGTCCTTATTTAAAACCCTCAGTGAATCTGGAACAAAAAGTGGAAAAGCCCAGGTTTTCATAGTGAAATCTCACCGAGAGGGGGTACTTAAAAATATGCAACATGTGTAAAGTGTAAAATAATACTGTTCAAAATTCTCCAATGCTGAAAAACAGCACACGTTTTAGAACTCGTGAATACATATTAGAGCACGTGTATAAAAATTTTTTTTTTTGAAATGCTTTCAACTTTACTTTTCAATGAAAACTCCTTACAGAGGAAAAGGGAATCAATTATGTGGCCATGTTTTAACATCAAAAGATTCTGTGATAAAGCATTCAATAACAGGACTTCCATACACTCGTGCACATATAAATTACAGAAATCGATGCAATTATATGATATACAAACTCGAGCGTTATGTATAATAAAAACAATGAAGGACAGTTATACTAGTGTTGACAATGTAGTTCACAGTAAAGAATGCTGGGAAGCCAGCAGCGAGCCACCTGCCACCTGCCAGAAAACTACCCACTGCAGGGAGAGGAGCAAATGGGAACAAGGAGGTCAAGGGCTACAAATGAGCAATTAGGCCAAGGAATACGTCTGGAGACAGAAAGTACAGCAGGAGACCTATTGTCAATAATGTTGTGTTCTATTCAGAAACTTTACCAAGACAGCAGATTTTAGATTCTCTTACCAGAAAAGGGGGGAACTGTAGAAAGTGATGAAGATGGTCATTTGTTTGACTGTAGTAATCTCTTCACTATGTATATGCGTACGAGCCATCGTGTCATACACTTGAACTATACGGAAGAAAGAAATAAAAAAAGGAAGACTAATACACATTGGGAGCACGCCCCCTGACCCCTGCCCTCAAACTGCCANCAGTCCTTATTTAAAACCCTCAGTGAATCTGGAACAAAAAGTGGAAAAGCCCAGGTTTTCAGAGTGAAAACTCACCGAGAGGGGATATTTAAAAATATGCAACATGTGTAAAGTGTAAAATAATACTATTCAAAGTCTCCGATGCTGAAAAACAGCACGCGTTTTAGAAGTCGTGAATACATATTAGAGCACGTGTATAAAAATTTTTTTTTTCGAAATGCTTTCAAATTTACTTTTCAATGAAAACTCCTTTCAGAGGAAAAGGGAATCAATTATGTGGCCATGGTTTAACATCAAAAGATTCTGTGATAAAACATTCAATAACAGGACTTCCATACACTTGTGCANTGCATTTGAGAGACGAAGGGCAAGATATTTTTCTCAGGTGTGAATATGCACTGGTTACATTTTAGGGCATTCCTAAAACTCACTTGCCTTTGCAGTTTCTTGAGAATTTTAAGTGATGAATTTTAAGTCACTAAATGAGATTTTTGACCGTTTGCAAAGATGAAGTTGTCGTGACATACGATTTGGCTGATTTTTGTCTTTGGATTAATTT